CTCCAGAAGTAACTAGAGGAATAGCTGTGCAAGACACAGAATAACAGAGTTGGAAGGGACCCTGTAGGTCATCTAGTCCAGCCCCCTGCCCAAGCAGGAGACCCTACACCATTTCTGACAGAGGGAAGTCCAGGTTCTTCTTGAAAGCCTCCAGGGATGAAGCTCCCACAACTTCCGAGGGCAACTTCTGTTCCATCAGCTGATTGTTCTCACTGTCAGAAAGTTTCTCCTTGTTTCCAGGTTGAATCTCTCCTCGGTCAGTTTCTATCCAGTCTTCTTTGTCTGACCTTCAGGTGCCTTGGAGAATAGCTTGACCCCCTTCCTCCTCTCTGGGGCAGCCCCTCAAATATTGGGAGACTGTTATCCTGCCTCCCCTGGTCCTTCTCTTTACTGGACTAGCCAAACCCAGTTCCTGCAACCGTCCATCGTAGGTTTTAGCCTCCAGTCCCTCTAATCATCCTGGTTGCTCTTCTCTGCACTCTTTCTAGAGTCTCAAAATGCTACCATCTGGCCTAATGGATAAGACATCAGGCTGGAAAGCAATGAGTTCTAGCCCTGCCTTAACCATGTAAGCTGGCTGGGTGACTTTGGGCCACTCCTTTTTCAACTCACAGGGTTGTTGTTCCTCAGAGGGCGGGGAAAATAGGAGGTGGAAGGAATGTGGTGTGTGTTTGCTATCTTGAGACATTAAAATAAAAATCATAATAAAGGCGGGATGCAAATAAATATGGAAAAAAGAGTGGAGAAATGGCTTTTCTGTTGTGCTGGATCACCCTGTTCTCCTCAGTTCCGGGCTGTCCCCGAAGAGGGCCTTGCCAAGAGACCCTCCAGACCCAGGGGGAAAACTTACTCTTTGCCACAAACTTCACATCTTTCCAGGCCTTCGATAGCAATAACACTTAAGACTTATATACCGCTTTGCAATGCTTCCCAGCCCTCTTTAAGCGGTTTACAGAGTCAGCCTCTTGTCCCCAACAATCTGGGTCCTCGTTTTACCCACCTCGTAAGGACGGAAGGCTGGGTCAACCTTGAGCCTGGCGAGGCTTGAACTGCCAAATTGCAGGCAGCCGGCAGAAGGAGCCTGCAGTACTGCACTCTAACCACTGCAACCACCCTGACTCATCCCGTTTTCCAAAACAGCCCTGAGGAATTCTGGGAGTTGAAGTCCACAGGTCTTTAAAGTCGCTTCCCCCACCCCGCCTTTTTCCCCCCCCTTTCCCTCCTGCCTACCTGCAGCAAATGCCTCTGGCTTCACCTTCGGGTTGGCTGGCGCTCCGCCCTTCACCAGATTCCCGCCCTCCCCCCTTCTGGCTGCTTTCTCTCAAGGGGATCCTCCCCCACTGCCGCCACCACCACACAGAGACAGAAACCTTTTGAAAATATGCTTTAATCACTTGGTACCGGGCAGATACATTCTGCAAACTCTAAAAACTCTTCGCTGGGTCGACAAAAAAAAGACGGTTGGGCCACGGGGTCACCCCCGCCCACCCTGGGAACCGGACGTGGCTCCTGCCAGCCTCACGGAAGGAGAGAGTCCCAGGGACCGCTGCCCCAAAGGGACCGGTGGCTGCGCAGAGCTCAACCCCACTTGTGTCTGGACGGAGGACCGGGAGTGCGGGCCAGTGGGAGGAGCAAAGGGCAGCCTTACTCCCCGGTTCTAGGGAAAGGGCAGGCCCGTGAACGACGGCAGACCGCAAGGGGGGCGCAGGAGGGAAGGACGGGGGACGCTGCTCTCCTCCGCCGATGGAACTGGGGAGGCCCCCAAATAAACCTGAGTCCTTCTAAAGTGCCGGGGAGGCAGCCCCTTTTGCCCCCACCCCCACCCCCCTCCGGTCCAAGTGGCCTGCCTTCCCCTCTGCCCTGCCAGGCACGGTTGGCATCAGTCTCCGCGTCTATTGCACGGGTGGAAGGCAACGGCTCAAGGGAGGATCGAATCCTGCCAGAGGACCAGCTAAAGACTGGGGCACCCGGAGGGTTATTGCGTTGAATCCAGTATATTCGGACACAAAGGATACCGGATGGGCAGCCATCTCGCTCACACACACACAACACACACACACACAAGATAACACACACGAGGCCGCTCGCCCCCTCCCTTTCCAGAGGAGAATCGGCCATCGTTGCCCGGGCTGGTGGCCCTCAATGGATCTGGGCCTCCCGGGAGGCAGGAGGAAAGATTGGAAAGGGGAGGCTGCCCACAACCAGCCCCCCCACAAACACACCCCGATCCTCAGGTGGGAAAAGGTGAGCCTCGGGCCAGCGGAAAGAGAAAGGAAGAGTCGGTCACTGGCTTCCCTCGTAATTCAGCACGTAATAGTCGTGGACGTACATGAGGACGGCGATGGGCTGGCCGATGATCAGAGACATCCACACCGCCGCGTTCCCGTAGTTGCCCCGGAGGAAGCGGCCCACGAACCAGGCCAGGGGGATCTGGGGACGGGGAAAGAGACCAGCAGACGCTTAGAGAGGGGAGGGAGCAGGAGAGGGCGGGGTTGAGGGGCCTCCAACCTCAGCCAAGGGGAATGCTGGGAGTTGAAGTCCACCAAGGTTGGAGGGCCCCCTGGCCCAAAGAGGCCAGCTGGAAAGAGGGAGGAGAGGGCAGCCTCCCCACCTGCCAATGGCTCCCCAATCTCACCTGAGCCGCCATGCCCATGAACGCCCACAGCCGGAACATCTTCAAGGGGACGCTCACCAGGTACTGCCGGGGGGGGGGGGGAGAAAGGGGGGGGATGAGCTCCAAATGCTGCGCTGGGGGGGGGGGCACCAAGAACGCTGCTCTCTCGTGGGGGGAGAGAGGTCGGTTGTCTCGGCCAGGGACACGGATGGAGCCCAGGAAGGGAGGACGTGAGTGGGGAGGGGGCTTAAAGGGACGTAGCAGCACCCGCCAAAACGCGGCTCTGCTGGGAAGGAGGCCTAGGGAAAGAAAGCGGGCTACGGGCCTCCCTTCAGCCACACCCAAGGTCTGAAGCAGCCCGGAGGGGCCCCCGGGGCTCTCTTGAGCTTGGTGGGCGTTTTTGGCAGACAGCACTTAATATATCGCCCCACCGTGCCTTCCAGCCCTCTCCGAGCAGTTTACAGGGTCAGCCTCTTGCATTGAGCCGGTGAGAATCGAACTCCTGGCTGCGGGCAGAGTTAGCCTGCAATACTGAACTCCAAGCATTGAGCCACAAGGCCCCTTCCTGCCTTCCCCGTAGCACTAGCACCTAGACTCATGTACCGCGCTTCACAGTGCTTTGACATCCCTCTCTAAGCGGTTTACGGAGTCAGCCTCTGGCCCTCAACAATTTTGGGTCCTCATTTGACCACCTCAGAAGGACGGAAGGCTGAGTCGACAGAAAGAAAGAAAAAGAAAGAAAGAAAGGAGGGGGGGGGAGGGAGGGAGGAGAAACAATAGCCCTTGGACTTATATACCGCTTTCTCATTGCTTTTACAGCCCTCTCTAAGCAGTTTACAGAGTCAGCCTCTGGCCCCCAATAATCTGGGTCCTCATTTTACCCACCTCGGAAGGGCGGAAGGCTGAGTCAACCTGGAGCCTGGTGGGATTTGAACTGTCAAATTGCAGGCAGCCGGCAGGTAGCAGAAGTAGCCCCACAATACTGCCCTGCGCCACTGATGCTTCATGATCCAAACTAGGGAGCGTTATCAGTGTCAGAAGAGAAGAGGGGAGGAGGAGGAGGAGGAGGAGAGGGAAGGGAGGAGTAGAAGGGTTTCCTTGCAGACGTTTCATGACCCAACTAGGGAACGCATCACTAGTGCTGATCGTTAACACTGATGATGTCACTGAGTTTAGGTAATGAAACACCTGCACGAAAACCATCAAGCTCAGAAAGTCCCCAACAGTCCCCCTCCTTCCCCCCCCCCCCCCCCTCTCCCCCCCCCCTCCTCCTCCCCTCCACCCACCCAGCTGGGTGATGAAACGTCCGCAAGAAAAGCTCCGAGCGCGCCAAGGACCCCTGAGTGTCCATTTGGGGTTATCCCCCCTGCAAGTTAAAGGAGAGGAGCACTAACCTCGTGGAAGAAAGCAGACGCGAGGAAGACGGCCACCTGAGCCGTGCACTTGCTAGCTCCCTTCCTCATCATGGGCTTGTAGAAATGCCTGGGGCCAAAAAAAGGGAGAGAGCCCACCCTTAGGAGCCTGGCCCCCAAAAGGCCGACCAGGAGGAGGCCGCTGCCCCCCTTAAGCCCCCCACCGTTATGACCTCAAAGGGCACCAGGGGGACTCGGGTGTCACCTGGGCATCCTTGCCGGCTTGGACTTAGGAAGAGCCAGCTGGGCAGGGGTCTCCAACCTCGGCCCCTTTAAGCCTGGAGGAATTCAACTCCCAGCATCCCCCAGCCAGCTTTGCTCTCATGCCAGGGGTCCCCAACCTTTGCTGGCTGGGGAATGCTGGGAGTTGAAGTCCTCCAGGCTTAAAGGGGCCAAGGTTGGAGACCCCTGCCGTAGAGAAGATCCGAGGATGGGGCCTTCCAGATTGCTGGCAGCCCTGGCTCAAGCCGGCGCAGAGGGCATAGGAGCTCCAAGGGAAATGGGGGCTTCTGCCCCCAGGAGGACACCAACCTCTGAAAGAGGGTGGGGGGAGGGGGGGGTTAAAGCCAGTCCGGTCCTGCCAGCTGGGCCCAGGCCTCCTTCCACTCGGAAAAGGCAGGCAAACTCCAGATCCCATATTCCTCTTCCCCGATGCTCAAGGGGTTTTTCTGGCTTTCGGGACGACTCCGTCCTTAAATGAGAAGGGCGGGTGGGGGACCCCGTCTCAGAAGTAACCAGTGTGCCCCACTCCCCCTTCCTGGCCGGCAGCCCTCGACGTACAAGGGAAACCAACGTTCCCGTTGCTAAGCGAGGCGCTTGTTATTTGGGCCGTGCTTCCTCCTCCTGACCTTCCTTTTCCCACAGCCGTTAAGGGAGTCGCTCCAGTTAACCGTCGTAAATACGAGCTGGGGGGCCGATTCGGATCAGCCGGTTGCTGCAACGGTCGTTAAGTGGGGCAACTTGGGGTCCCGGCGTAAACTTTGAACCGTCACTAAACGAATGGTCGTAAGTCTGGGGCTGCCTGGCGTGTGACGTGTCCTACCTGAGGCACCACTTGTGGACCGGGATGTTCCAATTCTGCCAGAAATATGTCACGGACTCCGAGTTCCTGCAAAAGAGAGGCGGGATCAGAAAGGGCACGGGGGGGGGGGGGGCGGGGTAGGGAAAAAAACCGTTTCCCTTTATGCCCCTAAGCCTTTCCCCCCCCCCCCCTTCTCCTTCTGATAAGACCCCTCCTTCCCTTCTGGGGGTCTCCCGCGACCCGGAGCCCTCTCCAGTGGGTGGGATTCGAATGGCTTTTACCACTGGTTCTGTGGGCGTGGCTATGTGGTCATGTGACCGGAAGGGTCAAAAGACAAGCTCACTTTCTAGAGCGGGGGGGGGGGTTGGACTGGATGACCTCCAGGTACCTTCCAGCCCTGCACTGCTGTGCTGTTTCAAAGCATCCTCTAAAGCTGCACCCAGTGCCAAGGTTTGCGGTCCTTCCTTCCTCTCCTTTTCCCCTCCCTCTCTCCTTCCCTTTCTTTTTTTTTTCTCTTTCTTTCTCCCATCCCTCCCTCCCTCTGTCTTTTTTTTTTTTTTTTTCACAACACACACAGACACACAAACACCATTTTTGGCCTAGTGGGCCTCAGGGTGCTGAGGAAAAAAAAGTGTGTTGAAGCGAGGGGCAGGGAATCAGCCGTGCCACACGATTTAGATTAGCTAGAAAGCAAGAAATCCCACCATTTCCTGCTTTCTAGCCAATCTAAGTCATGCGGCCCAGCTGATTGTCGGAAATACTGGTTGGGCCAGCATTTTTTACTTCCGGTTTGGCCGAACCGGTAGGACACCCCCCCACACTGGCCCTTGCTATCCAAGACAAGGCCGGTCTACGCCGGTCTTGTGTGCAGCTGAACAGGAGGAGGTGGCGGGAGGGAGAGTAGTTGAGACAATCACCTGGAGGATGGAGGGAAACTCATCCAGGAGAGAAGCAACCGGGAATTAAGCGGAAACTTCCCGACAGGGAGGACAATTAACCTGGGGGACAGAGGTTGCGGGTGCTCCATCCCTGGACAGCAGGGCCTCCTGCTTGAGCACGGGGGTTGGACTAGAAGACCTCCAGGGTCCCTTCCAGCTCTATTCTGATTGACGGGTTGATGGGATGCGAGAGACAAACACATTGCAGGAATTGGCAATTGGTAGTGCAGAGAAAAGAAAGGCTGGGGGCTCAAACCTACGAGGGACGGTTGCAGGAACTGGGCCTGACTGGTCCAGGGAAGAGGAGGACCAGGGGAGGCAGGAGAGCAGCCTTCCAATATTTGCAGGAATCCTTGGGCGGGGGTTGGACTAGGTGACCTACAAGGTCCCTTCCTATTCTGTTATTCTATTCTAAATATAAAGAATGGTTGCAGGAACTGGGCCTGACTGGTCTAGGGAAGAGAAGGACCAGGGGAGGCAGGAGAGCAGCCTTCCAATGTTTGAGGGGCTGCCCCAGAGAGGAGGAAGGGGTCAAGCTATTTCCCAAAACACCTGAAGGCAGGAGAAGCAGCAATGGGTGGAAACTAACCAAGGAGAGCAGCAACCTAGAAATAGGGAGGAATTTCCTGACTGGGAGGACAATTAACCAGTGGAACAGAAGTTGCCACCAGAAGTTGTAGATGCTCCAACACTGCAGGTCTTCAAGAAGAGACTGGACAGCCGTTTGTCTGGAATGGTTTTGGGTCTCCTGTTTGAGCACGGGGGTTGGACTAGAAGACCTCCAAGGTCCCTTCCAGCTCTATTCTGACTGACTGACTTAAATGTTTGCTTGGTCCTACATACCATAACCAATTCAGGGGATGTGGGAGGGCCCTTTTCCCCTTCCTTATCCAAACGGATTTGCTTGCAACCTTTGTGAAAGGCTCAGAGGCTGCCGTAATCCAGGCAATCCAGTGCCATTCTGACCAGTTTGGACCAACATGCCAAAAGGTAGGGTCTCCTCTGCGTGGCCCAGTCATTACACACACACACACACACACACACACACACACACACACACACACGCCCAGCCAACTCACCACCAATCCCGGTAAAACTCTCGGTCGCCGAACTGCAAGATCTCAGCTATAAAATTCAGGCTGGAGTGGAAGAACCAGTAGAAGAAGATGAGCCAGATCAAGTGATTGGGAACCTGCGGAGATGCGAGACAAAAAGAAGGCCCATGGGTTCCCCGGGGGTTCCTCTGGAGCAGGGGTCTCCAACCTGGGCCACTTTCAAGACTTGTGGACTTCAGCTCCCAGAATTCGTCGCTGGCTGAAGAATTCTGAAGAGTTTAAGCCCACACGTCTTCAAAGTGGTCAAATGTGGTGGCCCACTGGTGGCTGGCGGAGCTGGCAGCAGAGTCGGACAGTGAGGAGGTTGGGGAAGAACCTGGGCCATTCCTGAACGAGGGCTCTGCATCAGAGGCAGAGGTGGGGCCAGGGTGGGCTGGCAGTCACCCCCCTGCCTTCGGGCTTGGACAACAGTGAGGCGGGGGAGCTTCTGGAACCAGTTCCCAGCCTGCGCATGCACAGAACTGCCGAAAGGAAGGCACAATTAAGAACTCAAGGTCAATGTGGGAGTAAGGCCACAGGGCCCTCCCCTAGGGATTAAAAGAGGAGCGTAAGGGGGGGTGGGCTTTTGCAGGAAACAATCTGTCCGTTCCAGCCGTGTGAAGAAATGTCTGTGCATCTCAAGAGATGCTTTGCTGAGTCCTTCCTTGTCAGCACTGCAGTTTGGAAATAGTTACTTGGCAGCTCTCCAGGCTAGATAAGGTCTGTGCTTCTAATCACACCCTGGAAAGACTGTTGGCCAGGCCTTTGGCGGACGGTGAATGCAAGAAATTCACCTTCGTTTAAGAAAAGGGGTTTTGCCGGGACAAAGCGTCGGCTTCGTGCTTTTTGGGGACACCGAGGTCAGAAGACCAAAGTTGGAGAGCCCTGCTCTGAAAGAAAAAGAGCTTCTGGGAGCAACTTCCTCATCAGACCAGAAGTGGAGAACCCAGAGAGCAATTCCCACCTGTCTTTAGGGAAGAGTTTCTATTGAGCTTCTCCAGTGCCAATCTAGGCAGGCTTGGGGCCTCTGACGCAGGATGGGGCCCTTTTGAAGTCTGTCCTGAAAGACGCGTTCCAGGGACAGCCACAATCCTGCAGGGGGGGCCCAGAACTGGAGCTGCCAACTTACCTTAAAGAACCCTGTTTGTGTCCCCAACACTGCACACCAGCCGCCACCCCCTTCCCAGCTGAGCCTCATCTCCTGCCTCCCGAATCGAGACTACAGCTCCCAGGATTCCCAGCCAAGCCCTCTGCGGTACTTACAGCCAACTTCAGGAGACGCTCGATGATCCTGGAGTAGTCCATGTCCTGCAAAGCAAGACTGGCCTTAGTTTTCTCCTTAGCCAAGGCAGCTGCGGCCCCGTCTCTCCCAGCCACTCAACGATACCCCCCCCCCCCCCCCCCCCCCCCCCTTGGCTGAGGCGTGTCAGGGTCTGAGTCCCCCAAACTTCTCAAGGTTCCAGAGAGGTGGGCTTCGACACCCATAATTTCTTAGCCAACAAGGCAATGGCTGAAATTTCCAGGGGGCTGAAGCCTACAGGCCTGGAATTTGCCTCCAGAAGTTGTGGATTCTCCAACACCGAAGATTTTTTTTTAAGAGACTGGACAGCTATTAGTCTGGAATGGTATATAGGGCAGGGGTCTCCAACCTTGGCAACTTTAAGACTTGGGGACTTCAACTCCCAGAGTTCCTCAGCCAGCCATGAATGATAGAGTTGGAAGAGACCAGAAGGGTCATCTAAGTCAGGGGTCTCCAACCTTGGCAACTTTTAAGGCTTGTGGACTTCAACTCCCAGAGTTCCTCAGCCAGCTTTGCTGGGAGCCATTGTTCAGCTTTGCTGGCTGAGGAACTCTGGGAGTTGAAGTCCACAAGCCTTAAAAGTTGCCAAGGTTGGAGACCCCTGGTCCAGGGTCTCCTGCTTGAGTAGGGGGTTGGACCAGAAGACCTCCAAGGTCCCCTCCAACTCTCGTTATTCTGCTAAAGCTGACCGTTGAGCGATACTGCTCAGCGTCCTTAAGACACCCAGCCCACACGGCTGGGGAAAAGGCAAAACTTGGGGTCAAAATGCTTTTCCTCGCCACCTGCTGAGAAGCAGACCTCCCACTCCCACTGCAGGGGGAGACAAGACTGGGGAGGTCCAACCATAGAGGGGTCCTCCAGGTGGGAGGAAAGCAGGGCTATTTTTATCACAAACAATGAGGAGGAGGGGGTCTGTCCAATGAGGACACGTCTTCCAGAGCTATGCCCTCCCCTCAAAGCAGAAAAGCTGCTGAGGGGGTCCTTGCGGGGCTGGGATTCAAAAGTACCAGCAACCGGTTCGCTGTCCGGTTGCTGGGGGTGTGTGGCCATGGTGCCAGAACGTCCAGGAGGGCCGTTTTATCCCCTTCCCCATAGTCCGGAGGCTTCCCTTGGGCCTCTAGGAGGGTTAAAACAGCCTCCCCCAGACTCCGGAGGCATTCTGAAAGCCGGAAACAGGCCCATTTCCGGGCCTTCCTGTTCGGCCCCTTTTTTGCCCTCTCAGAGCCTCCACGCGGGCCCTGCACTTACCTGCACCCAAAACGGGCCGCGTGGAAACTCCTGGGAGGGGAGGGGTGGGCGGGGGCCAGCCGGTCGGTCCGGTTTGGCAAACCAAATGTAAACGTGAACATCCGGTTCGTTTGAACCAGCCCAAGCCGGCTGAATCCCTCCCCCGAGGGGTCCTTGGTGTTCTCTGAGGTTGTACTGATGCAGATGTTTCATGACCCAAACTGGGGGTCATCACCACCAGGGCTAGAAGATTCCTATTCTAGCGGTTTGCGCTGTCCGTGTTGGTGGGGTTGGCCGCGGAGCTTCTTTGGCTGGGCTGTTTGCTGTTAGCTTGGCAGTTTCCTGAATTGGGTATTGTTTACATCCTGGCCAATGGTCCAATCTTAATCTTGGAGTTAATCGGGGCTTATCTGGCTGTTGACCGTGGGAGGGGAGGTATTTTGTGGTCTTTCTGTTCTCTTTAGGCTTGTTGACCTTTGGTTTTACTGAACTCTGGCACGCTCTGATCTTGTTTTCTTGCAGATGCTTCATGACCCAAGTAGGGGGAACGTCATCCGTGCTGGAAGGGAATGAGGCAACTTCTAGCACGGATGATGCTCCCTAGTTAGGGTCATGAGACGTCTGCAAGAAAACCGCCAAGCTCAGAGAGCACCAAGAAACCCCCGTTTTGTCAGACTATTCATGAACTGGCAGAGACATGGTTAACAAGTTCTGGGAGCTGAATTGGGAGCCGAGACTGGGAGGAATCTAGGCGTCTGCTCTCAGCTCTAAAGGGAAATGGAAAGTAATCTGTTCTGAGCTCTGAAGCTGCTGTTTGTGTTGGGTTGTAACTTTTCCACGCTGGAAGAATCTACTATTGGTATTACTCATTTATTATGTAGATAAAGTAGTGCGCGAATCCTGCTGAATCAGCCAACTGTGGGTGCTTTTCTGGAGTGGAATTTCTGCCGCAAAACCTAACAGCCCTGAGCTACAAATGTTCTCCTTTATCCACACCAGCTTCAAGTCTCTGGTGCTCCAAGCGCCTTCAGCCTGTGGGGAATAAAAGCGGCGCTTACCCGGAAAGGCTTCATGGAGTTCTGGATTGTGGGCACCATCCACTAGAAGAGGAACACCAGGAGCAGATCAGTTATGGGTCACGTTGTACAGCCTGAACCACCCCCCCCCAAGGGTGGCTCTCTTGCCCTGGGACTCAAGACACGCTCTCGGGCTGAGGGGACCCCTCTCCTTGCCAATGGGGCCCCCAACAGCTGTTCTAGAGGAGCCTTGACCGGAAGGGGCCATTCTGGTCCCCTCAAAGGGAGCCAGGCTGGGGAGGGGGCTCCTGAGCTTGGGACAGGCCTGCCCTCCCAGCCATCAAGCCTGAGGAAGCCTCAGGGGGTCTTGGGCTCCCTGAAGCCCACGCTGGACCCCCTCCCTCCACCGAAGGCTGGGAAGACTCCTCCGTGGTCGGGATCAGAGTCCCTGCTGGTCTTCGGATTTAAGCACCAGCGTCTCTAGGCGGGGCTGAGAGCTGGTCCTTGTCCTCGGCCCAGAAGGGAACAGCAGCCATCTCTGGGGAGGGGACAATCCTACAGTCCTCCCCCTCCCCCCAGGGCCTCCCCCTCCCAGTTTTGGGTGTACCAGCTTCAGGTAGAGCCGGTTATCCTCATGAGAGGCGAACCTGCCCCAGGGAGCCCCCTCTCTCTCGATGGCTCATCCTTGGAGTCCCGGGGGGGGCGGGAGGGGGAGGGCAGGCCCAGATTCCCCCACTTACCTGCTGAATCAGCCCCACCAGCAGCTGCAGAAAGAAGAGCTGGGGGAGGAAGAGGAGGAAAGCCGGGGTGAGGGCAACCAGCCCAGCCAGCCCTGGCTCAGCCCAACCGCTCCCTGGCCCTCTGCAGGTGCAGCTTGCAGCTTTCCCGAAACCCAAGGGCAACGGGCAATTCCCACGGACACCGTGGCCTGGAGCTGACTGGAGCTGCTCTCCTTGGAGTCGGGCGGGGCCTCCAGGGCAACCTGCTCTGGCTGCAGGAGGACCCGCCCGGCATCCCCTCAGGCCACTGGGGGTCAGCCTAGATGACCCAGGCACCTCCCGTGGCCAATGCAGCCAGTGTAGCTCACTCCTCAGCTGAGCCGCCTGCGGAGGTGGTGACAGGGGTCCTCCCGCCAACCTCGAGGGACAGGAAGCCCTCTACGTCTGGCCACAACTGAAGCCCCGATGTCCGTGGCTAAGCGGAAGTGAGCTTTGCTCCACTTTACGACCTTTCTTGCCACAGCTAAGCAAATCGCTTCCGTCGTTAAGCGAGTAACACGGTTCTTAGCTAAATCTGGCCTCCCCACTGACTTGGGCTCGTCACCAAGGTCGCAAAAGCAGATCAAATGGCCCCCGGGATGCGGCCACTGTCATAAACGCGAGCCAGTTTTCCAAGCCTCTGAATTCTGATCACGGGACCCACGTGGGAGGGTGCGACAGTCGCTAAGCATGAAAAACGGCCACAAGTCCCTTTTGCCAGGGTTGTAACTTCAAACGGCCACTAAATGAACCATTGCAAATCCCAGGCTTCACTGTCCTCCGGCAGGCAGCCCCGCCCCACGGGGAGCAGCCCCCCCTTCCTCCTCCTGAGCCCCCCGAGCCCCCCCCCCTTCCCAGAAAGAGGCTCACCATCTCGAAGAGCCTCCGGAGGAGGAAGCGCTTCCGGATCCGAGGGGAACGAGGGAAGTTCAGCTCGTAGCACAGAGTCGGGGCCAGCAGGAAGTAGTACAGGTCTGCGGGGCGGGGGGAGAGAAAGAGAGAGGGGTGTACCCTCATGGAGGGCCAAAAGCCAAGGCCGGGGGGTCCTTCTCCCACGAAGGGGAGAATGGAATTGGCGGGGGGGGGGGCGCAGGGTGTCTGGGATGCAGGCAGTGCCGGCCCAACCGGGGGGACGTGTCCCAATCCGGCCCAAGGATCACCTAAGAGAAGGCAGGGAATGGGTGGGCACGGGGGGCCCGTCGGCCAAAGGACCCGAAACTTTGACATTGGCCAAAGATGGATAACGGGGGTGGGGGAGGGAGAAGTCCTGGGGAGAAAGGGGGGTGGAGCAGGTAGTTTGCACCCAAAGAAAACACCAGATCCGGCCTCTCTATTCCTGCAACCGCTTTTGCTCCAGGAAAGGATTATGGAATAGAACAGGATTCTTTTTCACCCAAGGAATCTGTCTTGGTGCAAAGGCTCTCAGTGTACACAGAAGAAAAGACTCATTCGGCCAGAGTCAAGAATCATCAGGTACTTGATAATACTCATAGGGTACAATAAGCAATCATGATAAGAAAAGAAAAGAAAAGAAAAGAAAAGAAAAGAAAAGAAAAGAAAA